TTTTTGAAATAATGAGTGTTCAATGATAAAATAATCACCCGGTATTTATCAATAACTATTCAAATATTTTAAACATTAATTTTTATTTTTATTAAATCTTCTCCAATTATAAATGGAATTAGTTTCTATAAAAACTGTTTTTTTATATTCAGAGGAGTTTGTCTATGTCAAAAACTTCTTTGTCGCAAATATTTTTGAATTACTACAGAGCCAAAATAAATGTATATTGTATAACCTATAGAATTTAATTTGTTGATGATTAACCCATTTTTTCCTAAACCAACTTAACATTATTATTCTTATAGATTTCATCATGGGACATGGATTATAATATATTAATATAGTATTTATAATCAATGATTGTACTTATACAAGAAGTTTATGCAGGAACCTTGAAAAAATTAAATGATGTAGTAGGTTAGGTCAGGGGCGGGTTTAAGGGAGTGGCTAAGGGGACAATAGCCCCCCCACCCTTGGAACTAAGCTAACTATTTTACAAAGCCAAGTATTATGAWATATTGATATATGCACTAATAATTATTATGAAATATCGTCAATCGTCATTGATGAATATGATTATTAACTATGGATATTAGAATATTTAGGCTTCAAGCTATTTTTAGATTGTTTTTCCAATCTATACCAATAATGTAACTATTTAAAATTTGTCACTATTGTGAAAAAACAATGACTTACTTATGAGGGTMGAGGGAMTCAAAAATATAATCTATAATTTTAAATTTTATATAGACTTAAAAAACAACTAACTAAATTTTTGAACCTCTATTAGCCCCCGCCCCTGACTTAGGTAGACTTTATGTACTAACTAACTTAAATACTGTCAGAAAATATAAAATAGTGTAAAAAAATTTGAAAATGAGACTAAAAATGAAATGAAAATTTTTCTAATGAACATTTGAATAATAATGTATGACATATTTTTAATGTATAACACTATCAATTATGAGTTAGTTGTAGTGAATTAATTATTATATTTAGTATTATATTTTTTTCCTTTAATGGATTACAATGAATCACRATTTTTCAAATAAAATATAAAATAAAATTATTTTTCAAATTCTACATWAAATAATTGAAGTATACTTAATTGATATTTCTTGACAGGGTCTGTTAATCATGCAAAAGAATGCACAATTATAAAATAGAAATTACTTGTTAATACAGTTTTCTTACATTGTTAGTAAAATAAAAAAAATTATATTTCATATTTCACAGATTTTAACTGAGGGGTTTAAAAATGGGAGGCATGCAAAATATTGAAATACCTTGATTCACTGCACCTGTGTCTAGAATGATCTGTTTTAATTCCTCTCCTATAGGTACTGAAATGACCAGTATTATGCTCACCAACATGAACAATGACAGCTTTTAATCTATATGTATACTTATTTCCTCTTAACCTGTACAACATATATTATTTTAAGTAGGATAAATTAATTTAGGTAACTGATTAAAAAATGTAAAAGCAAATAGCACAATACCAAAGTACACAAGACATTAATATATACTTAAGCTATTTATCAAAAAGATATAGTAAAAATTGATGAAACATATCACAGAAAAAATACTTCTTAAATTATTCCATTTTGTAATTATATTAAAATCAAATACAAGTGCTGAAAAAATTAATGGTACCTATGAAAAAACTGTTATTTACATTGAAAATGTTCAAGTGTAGTGAAAAACTTAAATTATGTATAAAAATTAATAACTATTACCTTTCTAATGGTTCAGAAGAACTCTTTTCTCTAGATTGCTTAAGCTTGATTAATTGGTCATAAACACTGGTATATTTATCCATGTGTAAATATTCAGGAAATTCCACAAAATCTTTTCTTTTTAATGGCCTATCTTTGAAATATTGAGTTCTTACTAAGTGTAGACATAAACATGAAGGTAGCTAAAATATCATAAATTTATAATAGATTATTATTATTTGACTTTTTATTTAATTAAATTTACTTTTCCAAATTTGACACTTTTTATATATGATTTYCCATCAGTTTTATCACAGTTTGTACATGGTAGATTTTCTAGTTTCTCTTGTCTTATATACTGATCTAAAATATCAGTTAATTCAATTTTCAGTTGAGGATATTCAGGTAAACTCAATGATATGACATAAAATTTTTCATAATTTAAGGACAACTAAAAAAAATGAAAAAAAAATGATGTGATATGTACAGATACTAAACATCTTTGGAATATATTAATATGAAAAATGGCATTTAAGTATTTAATTTTTATTAAATATAAGACATTTTTTCAATAATCATTCTACTAAGAATATTTAACTCTTCTTTATTGAAAATACTAATAAATTATACATACATAGGCACATAAAAATTATATCAATATATAGGAATTTTTAAAATATAGTTCAAAATTGATACAATATACAGGGTGTCCCGCGAAGATTTACCCATTGCGATATCTAACGAAATAATGGAGATATCAAAATTCTGGTTTTATAATAAGATTTACAGGGATAAAAACTACAATTATTTCATTTTTAA